GGCGCAGGGCCGGGGAGGGCCCGGGCGGGGTCAGGCCGGGGCCCACCTGAAAGCGCCTCGATGGCCTTGAGGGCCCAGCTCTCGTCCGGGCAGTCCACGAACGCGTAGCCCGTCTTCACCAGGAAGGGGCCCGACACCGGGATCTTGGCGTCCTTGAAGATACTTTCTAGGTCCGAGGGGGCGGCGTTCTCGCTGAGGTTTCCGATATACAGTTTGTTCAGTGGGAGGAGTGGTTGTTTAAAAAAAAAAAATTAAGGAGAAAAAAAAAACCGAAAAATGAAAACCACCCACAATGATGGATGGATCCGGCGGGTTTTGTTCCCCCTCGTCTTCTGGCCTTTAAAATACACAAATACAGTAAGAACCAAGCACGAGAACGGGGAGCGAAAAATCAGATCCGAGGGTTCTTGGCTTTCGTTTCCTAGTATTAAAAAAAGAGAGAGAAAGAAAAGAAAAAAAGACTAGCTACAACCCAAACGCTTCAACGAGTCTTCCTAACTCTGAGGAGGAGGCGGGATCAGCAAGAGAAAGGAGGAGGAGGAGGGGAAAAAATTACTTTTTGTCTCTCCCTCCCCAGCCCCTTTGGCATCGGCCAGCGGACTGTGAAAATATCGCACTACGTGAGGCAGGCGCCGCCTCCCCATAAAAAACCCAGAAGGGTGACTGGCAGGAGAGGGGGAGGAGGGAGGAAGGCGCAGGAGGCGGAAAAAATCCGCTCCGAGTGTCCGGCTTTTTGAATGAGCCACGTGTTCAAACTACAAATCAACGTCTCACGTGAGGAATCCCAGCGCCTCAATTAGAGTGGGTTTCGGAGGAAAAAAAAAAAAAGCGAGCGAGAGGAAGAGGGGGAGGGGAAGCGAGATTGGGCGAGGGACCCCGAGGAGGGGGAGGAGGAGGGGAGGAAAAATGCTAAAGAAGCTGCAGCCGGGGCGCAGAGGGGAGCGCGCTCCGGGAGCTGATTGTCACGACGAGTTGAGGAAGGGTTATCTGGTCCGGGCGGATCCGGGGAGGGAGGGTGGAAATACATATATATGTGTATCTTTTTTTTTTTTCCAACGAGGAAAGGGTAGGGATGCTAACTAGGTAATTCCTCCGCTCAAGTTACCATGGTTTTAATCATTCGATTTTTAAAAATAGGTAATTAACAACGAAACCGGAGAGGCGCGATCCCGAACTCGCCGGGTGGCTTGGATGACAGCAGAAATGTAACCCCGCAAAGCCGGGAGCCCAGCGCCGAGG